GCATGGGACAGACTGTGAAGGACATGAACAGTGATGGACACACTGTAGTTCATAAGAATCAAGGAAACAAGTAACACATGAGTTTCTTTGTAGATGAACCATGTTGTGAAACCTATGACTGCTGCAGTAAACTTATTTAAACGTATTGCCCTATTATGGCACGTTCAGACGCCGACGCTGGAACGCAGCTTCCGCACGCACCAGACACACTTTTTCTAAATTTCAGACGCAGGGGTGTTCAGACCAGAAGTCCTGCTGCGGTGGCGCCCGTCGGAAGAGGCGGAAGTAGCCGACGGACTTTGATGCTAACGGAGTTAAGCTAGCGGCTTTTTGTGTAAAGTTCTTCTCCAATAATGCAGCATCTCTGTGTCTGAGACCTTCACAGACTTTATATAACAGCAGTATGTGTTCACGGAGGTGACTTTATATAACAGCAGTATGTGTTCACGGAGGTGACTTTATATAACAGCAGTAAGTGTTCACGGAGGTGACTTTATATAACAGCAGTATGTGTTCACGGTGACTTTATATAACAGCAGTATGTGTTCACGGAGGTGACTTTATATAACAGCAGTATGTGTTCACGGAGGTGACTTTATATAACAGCAGTATGTGTTCACGGAGGTGACTTTATATAAAAGCAGTATGTGTTCACGGAGGTGACTTTATATAACAGCAGTATGTGTTCACGGAGGTGACTTTATATAACAGCAGTATGTGTTCACGGAGGTGACTTTATATAAAAGCAGTATGTGTTCACGGAGGTGACTTTATATAACAGCAGTATGTGTTCACGGAGGTGACTTTATATAACAGCAGTATGTGTTCACGGAGGTGACTTTATATAACAGCAGTATGTGTTCACGGAGGTGACTTTATATAACAGCAGTATGTGTTCACGGAGGTGACTTTATATAACAGCAGTATGTGTTCAAGGAGGTGACTTTATATAACAGCACTATGTGTTCACGGAGGTGACTTTATATAACAGCAGTATGTGTTCACGGAGGTGACTTTATATAACAGCAGTATGTGTTCACGGAGGTGACTTTATATAACAGCAGTATGTGTTCACGGAGGTGACTTTATATAACAGCAGTATGTGTTCACGGAGGTGACTTTATATAACAGCAGTATGTGTTCACGGAGGTGACTTTATATAACAGCAGTATGTGTTCACGGAGGTGACTTTATATAACAGCAGTATGTGTTCACAGAGGTGACTTTATATAACAGCAGTATGTGTTCACGGAGGTGACTTTATACTGTATAACAGCAGTATGTGTTCACGGAGGTGAATTTATATAACAGCAGTATGTGTTCACGGAGGTGACTTTATATAACAACAGTATGTGTTCACGGAGGTGACTTTATATAAAGCAGTATGTGTTCACGAGGTGACTTTATATAACAGCAGTATGTGTTCACAGTGACTTTATATAACAGCAGTATGTGTTCACAGTGACTTTATATAACAGCAGTATGTGTTCACGGAGGTGACTTTATATAACAGCAGTATGTGTTCACAGTGACTTTATATAACAGCAGTATGTGTTCACGGAGGTGACTTTATATAACAGCAGTATGTGTTCACGGAGCTGACTTTATATAACAGCAGTATGTGTTCACGGAGGTGACTTTATATAACAGCAGTATGTGTTCACGGAGGTGACTTTATATAACAGCAGTATGTGTTCACGGAGGTGACTTTATATAACAGCAGTATGTGTTCACGGAGGTGACTTTATATAACAGCAGTATGTGTTCACGGAGGTGACTTTATATAACAGCAGTATGTGTTCACGGAGCTGACTTTATATAACAGCAGTATGTGTTCACGGAGGTGACTTTATATAACAGCAGTATGTGTTCACGGAGGTGACTTTATATAACAGCAGTATGTGTTCACGGAGGTGACTTTATATAACAGCAGTATGTGTTCACGGAGGTGACTTTATATAACAGCAGTATGTGTTCACGGAGGTGACTTTATATAACAGCAGTATGTGTTCACGGAGGTGACTTTATATAACAGCAGTATGTGTTCACGGAGGTGACTTTATATAACAGCAGTATGTGTTCACGGAGGTGACTTTATATAACAGCAGTATGTGTTCACGGAGGTGACTTTATATAACAGCAGTATGTGTTCACGGAGGTGACTTTATATAACAGCAGTATGTGTTCACGGAGGTGACTTTATATAACAGCAGTATGTGTTCACAGAGGTGACTTTATATAACAGCAGTATGTGTTCACGGAGGTGACTTTATATAACAGCAGTATGTGTTCACGGAGGTGACTTTATATAACAGCAGTATGTGTTCACGGAGGTGACTTTATATAACAGCAGTATGTGTTCACGGAGGTGACTTTATATAACAGCAGTATGTGTTCACGGAGGTGACTTTATATAACAGCAGTATGTGTTCACGGAGGTGACTTTATATAACAGCAGTATGTGTTCACGGAGGTGACTTTATATAACAGCAGTACGTGTTCACTGAGGTGACTTTATGTATGTTTATGTATGTTTATTTTATTATTAGCCAGTACTTCTGCATCGAGAACGCGTTAGCAGCACAGTCACGGGAGAATGAGAACTCAGGCTGGAGACATATGTTCACAAGCACTGACCCCCATTTTCAATCCTGGTTTAGTCCGGTTTAGCTCCTGTTTTGGCTGTTTATGAGTATTTTCAGTCTTCTCGCTCTGACCGCAAGTGACCCTGTGACCACTTTGCGGCTCTTGGATTGCTTCTCGCACATGTGGCCAGTGGAAAAACTTCAACAATGTTCATCTCCTGCTTTTGCCGAATGCATCGAGTCGCCGTACCCACCGCCTCAGCCACGGAAGACAAACCTGCTCGGCAGACTCACATGTAACTCGAGACTAAAGCTCTCGAAACCTGCAGTGAGGAGCTCCAAAGTGTGGTCTGATGAAGCTGTGGAAGAGCTGCATGCATGGAATCTACAGACTGGGACCTTTTCAGAGCTGCCACAGATAGTTTGGATGAATACACGGACACTGTGACGTCATACATTCACTTCTGTGAGGATAGCATCATTCCAACAAGGACCAGGGTCATCTATAACAACGACAAACCCTGGTTCACTGCTAAACTCCGGCAGCTCAGGAAAGCAAAGGAGTCTGCTTTCAGGGAGGGGGACCGCAGCGGCTACAAAGCAGCTAAATATCAGTTCAGGAAAGAACTGAAAGCAGCCAAGTCCCGGCACAGAGAACGACTACAGGAGCAGTTTGGTAACAACGATACTGCTTCTGTCTGGAGGGGCCTACGGGAGATCACCAACTACAAGCCCAAAGCCCCCCCCTGTGCTGACGACCACAAGCTAGCTGACGAACTGAACTTATTTTTCAGTCGCTTTGATGCTGCCCCTGACACCTCCCCCACCCCCCACTACTCTAACGACCCACCCATCAGCCCTGCCCCCAGCCTAACAATAGCCGCTAAAGACATTAAACAACTCTTCCTGAGGCTGCACCCCCGCAAAGCTCCTGGCCCGGACCACGTGTCTCCGGCCACTCTGAGACACTGCCCCAGTGAGCTTACTCCTGTGTTCACGGACATTTTCAACACCTCTCTGCAGTCCTGCCATGTCCTGCTTCAAATCCTCCATCATTGTCCCCGTCCCGAAGAAGCCCAGGATCACAGGACTCAATGACTACAGACCTGTAGCACTTACGTCTGTCGTCATGAAGTCATTTGAACGCCTGGTTCTCTCCCATCTCAAGTCCTTCACCTCCCCCCTCCTGGACCCCCTGCAGTTCACCTACAGAGCCAACAGATCTGTAGACGACGCCATTAACCTGGCCCTCCACCACATCCTACAGCACCTGGACTCCCCGGGGACCTACGCCAGGGTCCTGTTCGTGGACTTCAGCTCTGCCTTCAACACAATCCTGCCATCCCTGCTCCAGGACAAGCTCTCCCAGCTCAACGTGCCCGATTCCACCTGCAGGTGGATCACTGACTTCCTGACGGACAGGAAGCAGCGAGTGCGTCTGGGGAAGAATGTCTCGGACTCTCGGATTATAAATACAGGAGCCCCACAGGGCTGTGTTCTTTCTCCCCTGCTCTTCTCCCTGTACACCAACCACTGCACCTCCAGCCACGACTCCGTGAAGCTGATGAAGTTCACGGACGACACCACCCTCATTGGACTCATCTCCAACAACGATGAGTCCGCCTACAGGAGGGAGGTGGACCGGCTGGTGTCCTGGTGTCTCCTACAGGAGGGAGGTGGACCGGCTGGTGTCCTGGTGTCTCCTACAGGAGGGAGGTGGACCGGCTGGTGTCCTGGTGTCTCCTACAGGAGGGAGGTGGACCGGCTGGTGTCCTGGTGTCTCCTACAGGAGGGAGGTGTCCTGGTGTCTCCTACAGGAGGGAGGTGGACCGGCTGGTGTCCTGGTGTCTCCTACAGGAGGAGGTGGACCGGCTGGTGTCCTGGTGTCTCCTACAGGAGGAGGTGGACCGGCTGGTGTCTCCTACAGGAGGGAGGTGGACCGGCTGGTGTCCTGGTGTCTCCTACAGGAGGGAGGTGGACCGGCTGGTGTCCTGGTGTCTCCTACAGGAGGGAGGTGTCCTGGTGTCTCCTACAGGAGGGAGGTGGACCGGCTGGTGTCCTGGTGTCTCCTACAGGAGGAGGTGGACCGGCTGGTGTCCTGGTGTCTCCTACAGGAGGGAGGTGTCCTGGTGTCTCCTACAGGAGGGAGGTGGACCGGCTGGTGTCCTGGTGTCTCCTACAGGAGGGAGGTGGACCGGCTGGTGTCCTGGTGTCTCCTACAGGAGGGAGGTGGACCGGCTGGTGTCCTGGTGTCTCCTACAGGAGGGAGGTGGACCGGCTGGTGTCCTGGTGTCTCCTACAGGAGGGAGGTGGACCGGCTGGTGTCCTGGTGTCTCCTACAGGAGGGAGGTGGACCGGCTGGTGTCCTGGTGCAGTGGTAACAACCTGGAGCTGAACGCCCAGAAGACAGTGGAGATGATTGTGGACTTCAGGAAGAGCACTGTCCCCCCGCCCCCACCCTCCGTGATGGACTCCCCCATCACCTCTGTGGAGTCCTTCCGTTTCCTGGACATCACCATCACCCAGGACCTCAAGTGGGAGCCGACCATCAGCTCCCTCATCAAGAAGGCCCAGCAGAGGATGTACTTCCTGCGGCAGCTCAGGAAAGCCAAGCTGCAGTTCTACACGGCCATCATCGAGTCCATCCTCACCTCCTCCATCACCTCCTCCATCACCTCCTCCATCACCTCCTCCATCACCTCCTCCATCACCTCCTCATCACCTCCTCCATCACCTCCTCCATCTCCTCCTCCATCACCTCCTCCATCACCTCCTCCATCACCGTGTGGTTCGCTGGAGCCACAGTCAGGGACAAACAGACTACAGTGCATTGTGCGCTCTGCAGAGGAAGTGATCGGCCGCAGCCTTCCATCGCTGCAGGACCTGTACGTCGCCCGAGCTCGAGGCCGGGCTGGTCGTATCACAGCCGACCCCTCTCACCTGCACATGGACTATTCCAACCACTCCCCTCTCACCTGCACATGGACTATTCCAACCACTCCCCTCTCACCTGCACATGGACTATTCCAACCACTCCCCTCTCACCTGCACATGGACTATTCCAACCACTCCCCTCTCACCTGCACATGGACTATTCCAACCTCTCCCCTCTCACCCTGCACATGGACTATTCCAACCACTCCCCTCTCACCTGCACATGGACTATTCCAACCACTCCCCTCAGGCAGGAGACTGCGGTCCATCAGGACTAGAACCTCCCGCCACAAGAACAGTTTCTTCCCCTCTGCTGTTGGACTCTTGAACACTTCTTAACCTGTCCCCCCGCCCTTTATAAAGTCACTTTACTGCCCATCATACGTCACTTTACTTCACTGTACTGCTGTCACCTTACATTGTGTGCACCATGTGCACTTGGATATTGTAAATAGAAACTGTAACTCTATTTTAAATTTAAATTTATTCTTTAGAAGTGTTTTTTATTCTTATTTTTATTATCTCTTTCTGACTGTTGCACTGAGCCAAATCAATTTCCAAGTCTGTGACCTCCTGTTACTTACGTGGCAATAAAAATGATTCTGATTCTCCTCGCACAAATGGACGTCACCATTGACTTTGTACTAAAACTGGACGCAGCGCATGATCTGGCCTGAACGCCGCAGAAGCTAAGTTTAGCTATAAACGGTACTAATGCTGCATATTACACGTGACTACTTATTTTTGGTTTCATTTAAACACCTTTGTGGTGCTAGTTTTGTTGTGTTTGTGAATTGTGTTATTAATAAAAGCTAAATTTACGAACTGGTGTAAACATTAATTCTGAGGTCCTTTATATTTTTTATTACTAATAACGTAAAATTTGTCCAGAAAAGGCCAAACACTGTGACGTTATCTGGGGACACACAAAAAAGGATGTACAGTAGATGTAATTTAAGATGGACATAATACAGACTGTCCTTCTGAGCAAGACAGTTCCTATAAGATTAAGAAGCTCTAATCTAACGGGAACATTGACAAAACATGAGAGCGAGTCAGGGAAATAGTACTTTTTTTCTACAGTGAGTAAATCAGTTTGTTAATGAGAACCCAAACTCCTCGTCTTATTCTAAAGTAAAATTCTGTGTCATAAGGATCAGTATTTAATTGGCCTGATTCTCTGCACGCTGCCATTAGGCAACGTCATTAGAAAGGATCGGAGTCGTTATTTACCAAGAACTCTTCTTCAAAGAACATTTAAATCAAGCAAGCAACTGAAACAGCATATGTCCTGCCCAAATTTAAATACTGTAATGTAAAATAACTGTGTAGAGGAAGGAGTCTGTGAGATTTCATACGTCAGACAGTTTTTCAGTCTCATAGAAGTCAAGGGAAAATGTGGTTTTGGAAATAAATGTATTAAAGCAGCAGTAAGTAAACATGTGGCCAAAAGTGGTACTGCAGCCTCTGCCACTCTCCCTGACTCAGGTTGCCAGATATGCAGACGAATCCAGCTGGGACCATAACAGCTGAATAGACAAGAGTTTTGTCAACAACAAATCTATAACCAACACCTTTTTCACAAAGATAGAAATTCTGATTTTTTTCCTTGTTTTGTCGTTAATGATTTGAGAATCATAACGAGACTTTTTTTAGTTCTGCGCCACATGGTACTTTACCAGTGAGATTAGCTCCACATGGTACTTTACCAGTGAGATTAGCTCCACATGGTACTTTACCAGTGAGATTAGCTCCACGCGGTGAGTTCTGGCGCCCGGATCACAGACTTTCTGATTGGTGAAACGGTGGAGGGCGGGACATCAAAATGAAAACAATAACAAGATTTAGAGGCTGGAAAAGTAATTTATAAATTCAAATATCTCTGAACTACTGTTATCAGTTAAATAAGTATTGGAAAAGAGCAGTTTATTATTATGACAGATTAGGGCCCTTTAATGATGACAGATTAGGGCCCTTTAATGATGACAGATTAGGGCCCTTTAATGATGACAGAGTAGGGCCCTTTAATGATGACAGATTAGGTCCCTTTAATGATGACGGATTAGGGCCCTTTAATGATGACGGATTAGGGCCCTTTAATGATGACGGATTAGGGCACTTTAATGATGACAGATTAGGGCCCTTTAATTATGACGGATTAGGGCCCTTTAATGCTGACGGATTAGGGCCCTTTAATGATGACGGATTCGGGCCCTTTAATGATGACAGATTAGGGCCCTTTAATGCTGACGGATTAGGGCCCTTTAATGATGACGGATTCGGGCCCTTTAATGATGACAGATTAGGGCCCTTTAATGATCCCTTGACATGAAAATCTTATTATTGCTTCTTTAAAACAAATCAAAGTCAAAATATTAAATTGACAGCTATTTGAGTGTGTTGTTTTGTGTGCATTTGTGTCAATGGAATAAAAGCAGCTTTTTTTCTCTTATGGAATTGAAAAGAAAAGCAGTGAATGGACCTATGAGTAGTCAATAAAGTCTCAAAAGCATTGTATTCACATAAAAGTGTTCGCCACATGGATGTAGTGTAAACAATGCATGGTTCCAATCCATCATGGTTAGCCTGGAAGCATCTGTGTCAACTGCTGTGTGGCTGGAGAATGCTCTGGTGTTCAGACAGAGCCTCTACCAATCCACCGAGTCCAAATATTCTCCTCTTTCTCCCATAACAGGTGTTTAAAAGACTGCAGTAATCATTCATAATGTATGACACAAACCGCCTTGATGGTGCTTTCCCGCAGGTCTACGACAGACTCATGGTGTAAGACTGTTTAATTCTATCTCTATGTATAGAGTATATATATATATTTTTGCTTTATAAAAAAAAAAAAAACAGCTGCCAACTCAGAAGCGAAACCTTTTTCATATCCCTCTACCCTCAGGACCAAATCAATCCAATGTATTTTTGTATAGCACTAAACCACAACAGTAGTTATCTCGGAGGACTTTACAAAATTGTCAATTTGCCAACACAGATCAGAGAATAAAACAGTTCAAACACAGAAAATTCAATGGTTAATTAAAAATACATTAAAGCTGCACTAACTGACTTTATTTTTGTATTCATTATGAAAGTGCTATCCATATCCGTGCAGTGCATTGGGATAAACGTCCTTTTGAAGAAAAAGTAGCGCAGGTTTGTGCTGGTGTGACATTATATTTTAGATCGAGTTATGATGAAACAAGGAAGAGAATGTGTTTCGGGTCGCAGATTGTGACCAATCACAGCGGACCACTAGGAAAGACGATGGGTGGAGCCGGTGGGTCTGTGCTTGTGATATTTGGCTGATCAGTGGTATCAGAGATTGCGAAATCACTCTTGACAGGCAGTGAGACCATGCCGGGAATGTAGCCAAGCAAGGTTTCATCCTCAGATTCTGACTCCTGTTGAGTAGGCACTAAAGGATGTGACACTGGCGGAGGCGGCACAGGAGATCTCTTCTGCACAGGTAAGTCCTGCATCTGTGCGGTAAAATGCCGATCGAATTGGACTTTGTTTCGGTCCATTAGTTTCCTGGAATTCTCACGGGCCAATTTGTAGCTATACTCCAGCTGGGACTTCAACTTCTGGACATACTGGAGATGAGAGTTTGGCTTTTCTTCAATAAACGGCAATCCAAACGCCAGGTCCACAGGGAGTCTTGGTTGACGGCCGAACATCAATTAGTACGGTGTGAATCCTGTGGCGTCATTTTTGGTGCAGTTGTAAGCATGCACAAGGGGTTTGACATGATCTTTCCAATGGGCCTTCTCTTGTTCACCCAGTGTACCAAGCATGTTCAACAGCGTCCTGTTGAACCGCTCCACTGGGTTTCCTCTCGGATGATAGGGCGTGGTCCTCATTTTGTGGATGCCAGCGCAGGGATTCAAAATCTGTGCCCTGGTCGCTGTGCAGCTTCTCCGGTATTCCGTAATGCACAAGAAAGTTGTCCCATAAGCACTTGGCAACTGTCTCGGCCTTTTGGTTGGGAGTCGGAACAGCGACGGCATATTTTGTGAAGTGGTCTGTCATCACAAGAATGTCTTTGATCCTGCCATCAGGTTCCACAGACAAGAAGTCCATACAGACCAGCTCAACGGGATGGGATGTCTGGATGTTGATGAGAGGTGCCGCATGTTCGGTAAGGGCCTTGCGCCTGATGCATCTCTGGCAAGTCTTGACCTTGTTGACAACAGCCATAGACATTTTTGGCCAATAAAACCGGGATCTGACCAAATCTAGTGTCCTTTCCATGCCCATGTGGCCCATCTGGTCGTGAAGCTGGTACAACACATCAGCTCTGTACTCCTCAGGCAACACCAATTGGAAGGTGTGCTCACCTCCGACCTGTCTTCTTCTAAGGAGAAGGTTGTTATGGAGCTCCAACCTGTCAGTAGTAAGGGCAGTTCGGGCAGTTGCTCTCTCAGCTTTGGCTGCGGTGACTCTCCACACTCAAGCTGTGTAACAACATGTTGGATGGTGGGATCGGCTCGCTGCTTGGTGGCAATGTCAGCGGCCGAGAGGCGAGGGAGTATTGGTGAAGCGAACTGTGTGTCATCCATGAAACTGTCGGGAATACTGCCTGCATCTACAGACAGCGACAGGACAAGGGCACGCATGGGATCATGGTCTGGAATGTTCATAATATCCCGGTCAGAAAGGGCTCTAACGGTCTGCTGGTCGATGGAGGCATATTCCGGGTCTTCAAGATGTTGTTGAGCGAATTTTAGCACATGCTCACGCTCTTTGCGAGAGGTGGGGTCGTCAGACAAATAAGCCATGTGGACGACGTGAAAGACCATCAGTGTCTGCATTTTGTCTGCCCGCACGATGGGCAGACGATGGCAGACGATGGGCGGCACGGTGGCTGAGTGGATAGCACTCTCGCCTCTCAGCAAGAAGGTCCTGGGTTCGAATCCCGGCCGGACCAGGGCCTTTCTGAGTGGAGTTTGCATATTCTCCCCGTGTCTGCGTAGGTTTCCTCCGGGTACTCCGGTTTCCCCTACCACTAAAAATATGTACAATAGGATTGGCATGCGCCTCCTGTACTGGCCCCGCTCCCATCTCTGTGTGGAGTGAGAGACAAGTGCCCAAAAATAACAATTGTAAACCGCTTTGTGACTCTGGTCTGTGAAAGGCGGTATATAAATAAACATTACTTACTTACTTACTTACGATAGACGATCTTAAAGGTAAAGGTCGACAGGGCAGAGAGCCATCTGTAGCTAGTGGCATCAAGCTTGGCTGAGGTAAGTTAGTGGGTTACTGTTTGTAAAAAGTTGAGCACCATACAAATAGTCCATGAACTTTTCAGTAACCGCCCAGCAAGAAACTCCAATTTATGAGCGGGGTACTTGGCTTTGCTCCGGGACAGTCCTCGACTGGCGTAAGCTACGACTCGATCTTTGCCATTGTGTTCTCTGTAAAGAACAGCACCAAGACCTGTAGCACTGGCATCAGTATGGAGAGTGTAGGGCTGTTGCGGATTAGCGAACGCAAGGACAGGAGTGGAGGTAAGTTTGTCAATGACTAGCTAAAATGCACTTTGACACTCAGTGGACCAGCCTGCACCAAAAGAGTCTTTGGGTTTAAGGTAGGCAGCCTGCTTAACCTTGACAGCGGTCTTCTTCTGGGATGGGGGGTAACCGGCGGTAACCATCAATAGTACCCAGCAAACCCTAGAAAAGATCTGAGTTATTTTAGGTTAGTTGGAACGGCCAGGTACTGAGGGACTTGATTTTATCCGGGTCCGTCTCCACACCATCCTGGGAAACCACATGCCCAAGATATTTGACAGAGGTCTGAAAGAACACACATTTTTCAACAGATAGCTTCAGTCCAAACTCTTTCAGCCTTTTCAATACCTTCATAAGTCGGTCTTCATGCTCCTAAAGAGTCGGTGCGAAGACAATTAAATCATCGATAAAAACAAGGACCTCTTTCAGGTTGAGTTCTCCCATGCACTTTTCCATCAGGCTTTGAAAAGTGCTTGGGGCATTGGTTACACCTTGTGGCATCCTGTTGAACTCAAAAAATCCCAACGGGCACACGAAGGCGGTTCTTTCTTTATCGGCTTCCTCCATTTCGATCTGGTAGTTACCAGACTTCAGATCGAGTACCGGAAACCATTTTGATCCAGACAGTGCAGAGAATGTGTCTTCAAGCTTGGGAAGTGCATAAGCATCCTTGATCGTTTGCAAATTCAGCTTGCGATAGTCTATGCACAGACGCACACTCCCGTTCTTTTTACGGACCACGATAATTGGAGACGTAAAAGGCGACTCAGACTCCAGATTCAGGCAGCTCTTGCAGATGCTTCCTTACAGCATCCTGCGGATGGATTGGCCTGGGCCGTTGCTTGAAGGGACTGGGATCAGACAGTTTGATTTGGTGTTTGACTTTGTCTGTTTGACCAAAATCAAGGTCATGCTTGGCGAAGACCCCATGGATGCTGTTTAACTGGTCTACAATGCGTTGCTTCCACTGGGGAGGGAGTGAAGAGTTGCCAAAATTGTATTGCAGCTGCGATGGTGGTTCGGTGGGTGGAGTTTGTATTGTCTGGAAGGCACTTATTTCTGCAATGATCGTTTTTGCTGGAATGGTTATGACATGGTCTGACTCATTGGAAACAATGACTGGAAGTTGGCATGGCCGGTTTGTGGGCAAGTCAGCGAGATATGATTTAACGATAAGCCCACCAGGAAGAGACCAGGACGTGGGGTGGTCAATAACTACTGCCTTCTCGGCCTGCAACAATCGTGTTACCATAAACCCCTCATGGGCAATGGTCTGGCCGGCATTGATGGTATATGGCTGGGTGGACTGCAGCGATACCGTGGCATACTGGTTGTCTAAGTTCTTTGTGTACCGATTTCGCAGGTTTGTGCTGGTGTGACATTATATTTTAGATTGAGTTTTGATAAAACAAGGAAGAGAATGTGTTGCGGGTCGCAGATTGTGACCAATCACAGCGGACCACTAGCCCGCACTTTCATGAGAAATCTACAGGTCCGTTAGCATAGACGGCTGAGTTAGCACAACAAGCGGCGGAGCTAACCTGAAGCTTCCTCGTCTTCGTCACCGGGTACTGCTTACACAGCGAGACAGCCATCCAAAAGAAAGTCCCGTTCCTCCGCGCTTCCCCGTTATATCGTTCTATGGTCACGCCATCCACGCTCAAATCCATATCCATGTATTATCCATATTGGGAGACGCTAACTCCGTCAACAACAGTGGGTGTGTGTGGGGGCGATAGCTTCGTGGGTGCGGGGAGGAAAGCAGAAAGAGCAAGGCCAGCGAGTCCGCGGCTTCAAAATCCCAAAGTCAGTTAGTGCAGCTTTAAAGCAATTCCATGGCTTTGGCTATGGGAGGTGGCTGAGGATGGCTGGATTGGCGTGGTGCTTTCTTGGATTCAGATTGACTTGTCTTTTCACAGACCTCTCCTTTAACACAAGCTTAGGCCCTGTCCACACGAAGTCAAGCTCAGGCCTAAACGCAAAAATACTTTATCAATCCAGTGTATCGTCCATACGAGGCCGGCGTTTTGGGGGGGTGTAAACGAACATTTTTGAAAGTAGGTCCCAGAGTGGAAAGATTTCAAAACTCCGTATATGCCGCTCCGTGGTTACTGCCTCTCCGCAATGTATCTGAGACGCTTGCGTCATCGCCCCGCCTCTTGTTAAAGCACGCATGCGCCGCAC